TTTCAGGTTATACCTATACTATTTTGTACAAATTCGTTTAGGGTACAATTTGAATTTGTACTTTTATATTATGATACAACTTGAAATTGTACCATGATATAATTGTACAAATTTTCTGATGGTATAACATAAACTTGTACCTTAAACGTTATAATACAACTTCAAATAGTACCTTAAATAACCAATGTTTTAAAGCATAGTAGAATTGCACATAGTAGAAGCCTTATTCACCCAAAATTATTATATAGGGGCGGCCTCTTCTAAAATTTAAAGTAAATACATATTTAAAAAATCTAAATAAAAATACCTGATAATACAAATGATAATAAAATAGTAGGATGTATATTAGTTTTGTGAAAAAAATTGATGAGTACAATCTACAATAATATTACACAAAATACCATTGAAGTGTGGAGAAGCAGGAATCGACGATTAAGAGGGCGTAGACTGATCATTGGACTAGGGGTTGGTACACGGGAACGATTGAAAAGAAGCAGGCCCTCACTGTTTTTTTTTTTTACTTTGTTTCAGAATCGTGGAAAATTGAGAATTCATTTTAGCAAGATGAAAAATTGGAGTGATTTAATTGGACTGTTCTTGTGGTTTATTATTACATTAATATTTTTAACATACTAACAAAAAATTTGTTGTGTAATGAAAACTAGTTTTTTGGTCCGCGCTTTGCTGCGCAAGAAAACTGATTATCATTTAATGATGTAGTTAAAAGAAAATAATCAACAAAATATTTTGTATAGATACCTCCACAAGGTTTAATGAATTATTTTTTTAACTAATATTAAAATAAATATGTTATGAAAATATCACATTGATTAAACGGTAATATAAAAAACCTTACAGAACATTTGCGTATAGCAAATTGATCAGATGGTCAACAATATAGTGAATAGTAAAAGAATTTCACTCAAACTTATATTAGGATAGAATTACTCAATATGTTTGTTAATATTAAAGGAACTTTTGTTAGATTTATTTAATTTTTTTGTTTAATTGATACATAAGAAATGATTATCCCCTCATAAACTTTACATAGTATATTAATCATGAAATAGATACCCCCATAAATTTTAGATACTGTCTTAATCATTACAAAAAAAAAAATCCGTAATACATTTTGCTCAATTAACACACTGAAATTAAATTGTTTATTATGATCTATGAATCTCGAACGTACTTTGTAAATGTGAGATTTATCTAAAGTGTTACTACATACTTGTACATTTCATTGATAAGAAGAGATTAACAGTTTTGTTAATAGTAAAGAAACTTTCGTTCAAACTTATACTACGTAGACTTACTTAATTTGTTTGTCTAATCGCTATATAAGAAATTATTATCCCTTCATAAACTTTAAATAGTGTCTTAATCATGAAATAACTATCCTTCCAAAATTTTTGCGTAGTGTTTTAATCATTACAATAAATTTTCATAATACATTTTGCTCAATCAATACAATGAAATCAGATTGTTTCTTATGATCTATGAATCTCGCCCGTACTTTATAGATGTGAGATTAATCGAAAGTGTTACTACATACTTGTACATACCATTGATGTTTTTCTGTTTTCTGTATTTGATGAAATATAATGACCATAAAATAAACAATTTCTACAAAGTTGTAGGAAAAGTTGCTTATATCACCCTCAATTCTCATCAATGAAAAAAAAAATGAAACTGATATTTTGGCAGAGTATCTTTTTCTACCCAGCGTGGCTTAGGGAATGGAGGATTGGTAGTTTAAAAATGAGATTGGTTGTTCAAAGTTAAAACTAATAATAGACGTGACTGCAGTGAAACAGCGGCCCTTGGACATCGCCTAATTATTAAATGAACAGTAACCCGGTTGTGCTATTTTTTCGTAAGGAACAATAACCAAAATTTTGGTTGCTTGCGGCATAATTATATAATAATAATGTTTTTTCCCGCAATTTTAGTGTCTCGAATTTGAACCATAGGAACTATCATTTATTTTGTTTCATTTCCCTAAAGCTCAAACTACTATTGGGTTCGATAAAAAAAAAAAAAAATTCTTCCTAGGGGTGAGAATCCGCTACCGAGTACATAGTTAGTAAATACTCCGTTTAATACACGTATATGTACCCGTACGTACTTTATCCGTTTAAAACTTCCGTATCCGTATTTTTGTCAAGCCGTTTCATTTTTTTCCGTTCATTTGGTGGCTCCCGTACCAAACACGTATAAAATCCGTATAACACGTTTTATATCCGTATTTAATGAATTAAATTGTTAACTTTACTATTATTTATATATTTATTTATTTTAAAAAATAATTTATTTTATATATTTATGACTATTAACGTACTATTAAACGTAACATTAGCTTAGAAATGAAGTAAAATACCCGTACGTATTATATCCGTAACTTTCCCGTACCGTATTTTACTAACTGAACCACTACGTGCCTTTTTGTACCTAATTAGTACGACTTGTATCTTTCTAGGTTAGATTTGGGATTACTTGTTAGTTACATAGGGACCTAGTGATACAAACATTTTAGGCTTGGATGAGGCGTCAAATAAGATTATTTGAAAGATCATATATAATATGGAAGGTTATTAGTAATTATAATCGGGCTTACTATGATATGTTTGATGTTATAAGTCACGTGAAAATATAAATGCATGATAACAACATACATTATGAGTGAATCTTCGTAGTTAATAAAAATTGTCTTTATATCTCATTCCTCAAGATAATTGTTGTCTGATGGAACATGTTTTGATCAAATCTTATATTGAGTGTGCGAATCATCAGCCAATTGAATTGTTCTGCTACCAATGTAAGGTTTTGTGAGGTCATTGGGAATTTTATTCTAGACGAGAATAAAGTGCAAATGATGGTTCTAT